TGTGGTTATGAGCCATGGGGGGGGGGGCTGGGGGAAACTTGCAAAACTTTTTATGAGATTTCCGGCCGGCGCTTGTGACACATTTGCAGCGGTACCGTGAAAGGCGAAGCTCGAAAAAGCTGCAACCGTATATATAATATTTATATATATTATATATTATAATATATATTATATTATATTATTAATATTTTTCTCTCTCTTTGCAAAAAAGGATTGCGGCTTCCGTTTTTCCTCCTTTTAATTTTTTTGCAACTTCTGCAAACGGGAGGCCCAGCCTTCCTTCGGAAAAAAAAAAAGCGACGGGAAGGGGGGGGATTTCAGTGGCTCCTCCCCGATCAGCTGCTATCCCCCCCTTCACCCACCCACCCCAACGGCTGGGGAGGGGGGGGGGCTGACGTTAGTGCCTGTACATCCTTTCTCTCCCAACCCTTGCTCATTCTTCCCTTTCTCTCTCCCGTCCCCACCCCCAAAAGAAATTCTGAGCTTGTGTTTCCTGCTTTCCAGCCGGTGCCTTCTGCACATGCTTAGGGGTAGCCTGTTCTGTCTCTTCCAGAAGTTGTAGGTAGATGTGTGGGTTACAGATCAAGGGGTGGGGGATTTGAGTTTGGGGGGTGGGAGGGGATACTCTCCTGCAGCTTCCCCTCCTCTACAATTTTCTGAAAATAGTTGCAAATTGTAATCTTTGACACCTGTCAATCATGACAGCAATTTATTCGGAGAAGGACGGGCAGGGCATTTGCTAAATCAAATGGGTTTGGGTATGATAGTACGGGTGGATGGGAGACCACTAACTGATATAGACAAGAGACTGCAGTATTGTGGGGGTGGGGGGGGGAGGTTTGCCAGCAGGTGATTTGCAAGCCACTTTTGTATGCCTGCCAAAAAAGCTAGGTGGGGATAGCCATGAAGTCACCAAAAAGTAAGCTAGACTGACAGGATATTTTTTGTTACCCTTTATGTAAATTAAATTATGTTCATTTTTGGTTCTGCCTTGCTGGGGTTTTTTCCCCCCTTCTCTTTTCTGTGCCCAAATGCAGAAAAGTTTGCAAAGTTTAGATAGATAGATGATTGATAGATAGATAGATAGATAGATAGATAGATAGATAGATAGATAGATAGATAGATAGATAGATATAAAGATATAAGGAGAAATATAATGTTAGAGATTGAGAGAGATAATGATAGATAGAAATAATGATAGATTGATAGAGATAGAAATATAGATAATGTTAGATAGATGATAGATAGATAGATAGATAGATAGATAGATAGATAGATAGATAGATAGATAGATAGATAGATAAAGGGAAATATAATGTTAGATAGAGAGAGAGATAATGATAGATGGAAATAATGATAGATTGATAGAGATA